CCACCGTAAGGCCACGTCACCGCCGCACCGCATCAAGGCTCCTCCTCGCTCTATTGGCTCGCGTTGGCAAAACGACAGAACTCGAAGAGGCCAGGATGGTAGTCTTATTTGTAAGAGTAACTCAGATATGGGGGGGGCATCAGTCCGCACCTCCGATCGGCATGGTCGGCTACATACAGTTGAGACAGGAGTTCAACGTACGCATTGGCAAGCGATCGACTGTGGCTCCAAAAAAAAAAGGGTTTTAATGAAATTTTCATTTATCGGGATATGCATTTACCCAAGCCTGTAAAAAGGCGGAGGTTATAACCACACATTTACCGTGCTTTTCAAGCGTCACCGCTGATAAGATACAAGACCTGGCGGGGGCTGTAAAACTTTCTCCCCACCCCTCTCCCCCCTATCCCTCACCCCCCGCCAACCCGCAATTCCTTTAAAAATAAAAACGCGTAATTTTTTTCTTTACATTTATACTGCCTTGTTTTCACTCGTGTACAACATTTGCTTGAGACTATTTTTGTAACTATTATTTCTAACTATTTCCGTGCAGGGACCGGCTCATCCTCTAACATACAATTAAATGTATCCGTGTGGCTATTTAAATCCTCTTTTCTGAGGTCCAAACAAATCAAGTGGCCAGCAACGAATATCACTGTTAAAATTGTACGAGATAGGAGTTAAAACACGTTTCTTCATTTGAGCGAGGTTATTAACTCGCGGGGAGCAGAGGGGGAGGGGAGGGAAATATGGGAGGGAATTCCACAGTGGAGCAGTGTGAGTGATGAAGCGGAAAACTACGTGGTGTGGCCTGAAGTGTGGCGAGTGGGTGGGTGAATGGGTGAGAGAGAGGATGAGTCAGTGGGTGAGTGGGTGAGTGAGTGGGTGGGTGAATTGGTGAGTGGGTGGGTGAATGGGTGAGTGGATGGGTGAGTGGATGAGTGAGTAGATGAGTGAGTGGGTGAATGAGCGAATGAGTGGGTGGGTGAGTGAGTGCGTGAGTGGGTGAGTGAGTGGGTGGGTGAATGGGTGAGTCAGTGGATGAGTCAGTGGGTGAGTGAATGACTAAATGGGTGAATGAGCCAATGAGTAGGTGGGTGAGTGAGTGGGTGAGGGAGTGGCTGGGTGGGTGAGCTGTTTCGACCTGCAGTGTGGCTAGTGGGTGAGTTGAACGAATGAGTGGGTGGGTGAGTGAGCGTGTTGTATGTACGTATGCTGAACTTATTTCGCACCGTGCGTAGCCAACCGTGCTAATTGGAGGTGTTGTTATGACCGGCAGCGCGGCCGTTGAACCCATTGTGAATGAGAGCGAGTTTCGTAGACCGAGTCCCCAACAACGCGAGGTGGAGGAATCAATGAGTGAAGCTCCAGGGAAAAAAAGTAACCATGGTAGCAGCGAGAGAAGAGTGATGAGAAGCCGACTGACAGCCGCTGGTGAGCGAGTGACCGCAGTTAATCGGTGGGCGCTGCATCGTCAATCAACCTGACGGTTTTACGTCGAATTTAGTAAATACATACATTCCTCAAACTCTCGCCATGCCCTCCCCCGCTTTCCATCGGAGCTTCTTCTTCATCTCTAAGTATTTGTGCTGTTACCAAAGGAGCAGGGAGGTGGTGATGGGGGGGGGGGGGATAATGCAGCCTTTCTAACTCGAGGTAATTGCAGGGAAGATAAAATGACAATGTAAAGACTTTCCCGATGCACCGCTGCTCGACAAAGCCCTGCCCATGCCATGTTGGGCAGGGCATTGATTTGACCATACTTCACCACAGTGGTTCGAGCGGATTGTTAGAGTTGGTGGGGGGGGGGGGAGCAAATACTGTAGTTGTCCACCTTTTCCCCACCACATTTTTTTCTTAGATGGCCGTCCCATGCTATCAACCGTTTTCTTTTTGCGATTTAAAATAATAATATGTCACACTAATTATTATAATGCACAGCCCTTTTATCAACCCACTGGTGCATGATGGCCTGCTGCCATAACCTGTTGGTCATCCAGTCGTGGGGGTTGGTAACGATTATAACTTCTGCACACTGGCTAGCGTGCATTGGTGGGGGTGGAGGGCCGGGCTCCAGGCATCGCTCGCCACCGATGTCCACCGTGGCTCGGAGTCGAGACCGCAGCGGTGTAAAATCGCTGCGCCGCCACTCCACCTCACAAATGATCACTGTGCTCTCCCGTTACAAGACGCGCGATATTTTCACCGGTGCCTTACAAAATGCATCTTATAATCCGGTAGGTGAGTGACCGTGCAACGGCAGTGTTGTGGTTAGCGCTGCAAACCCGGTGGACCCCGGTTGGATTCCCGCTCACGGTCGACGCAAGTGACGATTATCTGAACTGCTCCTGGGCCTCCATCTCGGTCGACTCAGTCTCACATGATTACCTGCACTGGGGCGTGGTGCTGGCCACCCATCCCCTCGTGTGAGGTGCCGGCCTTCATAGGTGCTCGCTGACAGCCCTTGCCCCAACAGTCCGTTAAGGCTCCACAGGGGATCTTTGTCTGTGTGTGTGCGTGAAACGTTATTGACACTAGAGAATATGGTAATAACTGAACTATTTCTGCCTTAAGTACTTTTGACAGAAAAAAAATGTTTTCTCCCTCTGTATTTTTTTTAGCTGGGTGCGCCACTGGCAATCGCCAATTGTGCCAAGCGGATTAGCGGGTCACAGGGCCCGGGGGATTTCCAGACCAGTGACTCCAGAATTCATTTTCATAGAGTTAAGCGCCGAGTCTTCCGGCCACTGCCAAATTCACAACGACAAAAACAACCCCCCCCTCCCTCTCTAAGTCGGTATTGTGTGGGCTGACCTCCGTCTTGTCACCCATTGCTCAGCGGCACCCAACCCAGAGTGTTTGTAAAGACCACTGCCTGAAAATACTTTTAGTGCCCGTAAGTCATTAAAACAGAGTTACGCAAACAACTCCCTTATCCCTGTGAGAAGGGACGCGCCTCTCTATTTTTATTTTACCATTTTTTTATTTTACCAGCTAAGGTCCGCTGAACTATGTAGCTTTTATCAGAGGCGACCTGGCCTTCACAAATGATAGCTCAACGGAGTGGCTTTTCAAGTGGATAGCAGCCAAATACTCTAAATATAGAGGGAAAAACCGGAGGTCCAGGAGAAAAATCCACTCGACCACCGGGAGTGCGAGAGACACGCAAACCCCAAAGATTGAACTCACGACCTCCTAAATACCGGGCGAGGTATTATGGGACCTCCTTTGCCAGTGCCAAAATATGAGAATAGGTTTTCCCCTTTTTTCTGTCAACAAAACAAGTGTTAAGATATTAAAACACCAAACTGAAACCTTTTACAAGGAATAATGTCTGCATTAACTACAATACTTGTGGTCAGAATGCAAACAAGAAAGGGGAAAACTTATTGTCATATTTTGGTACTTCCAAAGGAGGTCCCATGATGGAGCTGCTGACCCCGAGCTCTCATTACTCTGATAGTGGCATTGTCTTTGTGCTGTGTACACATTTTGGCGTCCTCTGGTCTAACACCGTTTGGGACTAGGCTCAAAAGAAAGATGTCTCTGGTGTGGATCAATCAGTTTCAAAGACAATGCAAATATTATCAGAGTATGTTTTTTTTATATTATATTGCTAGGTAAGGCCCCCTGAGTTATATAGCATTTTTTTCAGAAGCGACCTGGCTATCACAAATGATAGCTCAACGAAGTGGCTCATCATGTGGAAATGTATAGCAGTCAGATACTCTGAACGCATGTTGCATCGAAATTTTGGAGGGGGAAAAAAATTGGAGGGCCCGGAGGAAAAATCCGCACGAGCACGGGGAGAGACAGACACGCAGACTCCAAATATGCAGGAGGCATCAGGGTCGGGATCGAATCCACGACCTCCTGTGTACCAGGCGAGGTAGTTAACATCTCCTAGCCACCACGGCTGAAGCCACTGCAGCGGTGCCATGTTGATGATGATAATCATAACCCACCCAAGTTGTTCATAAACGCACCGGCAGTAAATAGTTTACCACAGTTGCCATTCATACAGTTAAACAAACACTGCCTTACGCCCTGAAATATAAAATACTGTAAAGGTAATACTGTACGAAAGAAGTTATTTAATCAGTGGGCCCTACCTGCCTGAGAATGTGCTTCTGCAACACGGTCATTAACAACAACAACGACGATAAAGGAGTGAGACGCGGGAAATGTGCACTTAAGCCGACTTATGCAAGCTTCGAGGAATTTACGCCGAGACACAGAACGAGGAGCACGTGCACAAGTTCAACGTGACCTTCCAATCTGCGGGGGAAAAAAAAAAAAACATATATAGAGAGAAGCACGGCTCGGGCACGACACTTCACGGCTAAACGGTACGAAGGCCGACGGTTAAGAATAGGGACGGAGTGGCAGCAACGGCACAGCAATGCGAGGAAATCGTCTGCGGTGGAGATGGAGCGATGGAATCAATCAACGTGCGGTAGTTGGCTACGTACGCTGTGAAGGAGTTTCAACATACAAAGAGCGGGTTCTAGATGGACGGTTGCATTGTTGCATCGCAGTATCATGAAGGATGGCGGCAACTGGTGGAGGGGGGGGGGGGGCTTCATCTAGCAGTGGATTGGTCAAGGCTAACGATGATGAAGATGATAATAAGTTCATTTATTTGTCAAACGCCAGTCATACTTGAGAGACGATGTCGCGAGGCCGAGAGGCCTGCGGCGATGCTCGAGCGGAGAGGCGCCGGTGATGCGTCCTGGTGTAGGGTAACGAGCCGAAGTTTCGGACAAATCTAGTTACGATACTCCTCGCTAAAAGGAGCGAGGTGACGAGGCTACCGTGTGAAACACTTTGGGCGTTCTGAATTCTTGCTCCCAAACCGCCCACGCTTGGGGCTGCAGCGACGCAAAAAAAAAGACTCTGAACAATGATAACGACAGCGGTGAAAATGGCTGGTCGTGAGCAAGCTGAACTCCGATGAGGCCCAATAATGCCGCGACCCACGATTCCAGCGGCCAGCCCGTTACCTGCGCAAAACGGACCGGCCAGGGCTGCGTGGGCAGCTCGGATGTTTCGGTGGCTCGCACACAGAGCGTCGTGAAACTCGCTCGGGCGTCAAAGAGCGGCCGTCGTACCCCCGGCTCCCCCGGGAGAAGGCGATACGGCGAGTGTGGACTCATCCTCCATCTGTTTCAATCTGTACGGGGGGAAAGAGAAAGATCGAGTACTTGTCCCACCCCCACCTTGGCATCGCACGCGTGTGGGTTTTCCCCAGGTGCTCCGGTATTTCGGGGACGGTTGTGTAGTGAACGCTGATCACGAATCAGTTGAAAAGATCTTAAAATAAAATAAAAACTCAATGTAGCGGGACCCCCTCCTGAAGCAACAAAAGAGTCCTTCGACTCAATGCGGCTTTCCGGCATTAATGCGTAATAATGGTTATCATTATAACTGAGAGCTGTAGATTGGCAAAGGAGGTTTGCTGACATTTACAGAGATCCGACCTCCAAGATGTCTCATGAGAATACATTTTCGCTCGCGGCGATTTTACTCTCTGACTGTTTTAACCCCATTACGTTTGACGAGCCGCGGGACTGCTGATGAAGCTCATGACGAGGATGTTGCCATCATCGTTGCACGCACATGTTGCCGGCTGGCGATGCATAATGCTGATGATGACGACGCTGATGGATGTAGGGAAGGAGAGGCAGACGAGGTATTGTTTGTGTACGAGCCCCAATGAGTGTTTTTGTTGGCTTCAAAGCAGAGCTCTGTTTATTAATGACGATTTTTATATATATAAAATAAACGCCTTAATTTTTTTAAACAACGGTTTTATTAACAACTTCGTTTAATTCACGGTCGAGAAGTACGTCAATGATGCGGCCCTTGCTCCCACATCAACGATTCCCACATCAACGCTTACTTGAATTAATAAATGGCTTGCGTAACTCGCTGAGACGGAACAGGCGCGCCTGAGACACGTGGCGCCTGCTTCTTGGGCAAGGCGATTGCAGAGTTTTGGGACCGCGGCGCTTTTGACCTACACAAATTAATATTTAATTTAATAATAGGGGTTTTCCCCTTTTTCTGGCAACAAAACTGAAACCTTTTTTTTACAAGGATTCATGTCTGCATTAACCACAATACCTGCAGCCAAAATGCAAACAAAAAACATACTAGGATAATATATGCATTGTCCTTGAAACTTATTGGTCCAAATCAAGGGACGGCTTTCTTTTGAGCCTCGACCCAATTGGTGCTCGACCAGATGACGCCGTCCATACAAAATGTAAATTGCTTTAAAAGAGCCAATTGATTAATTGATGCCGATTTTGGTACAGGCGTGCATTGTCACCGGATCTGAGTACGTGTGCAAAAGTTGCAATTGATTGGAGAACAGGAAGTAGACTAACTTGTGATTACAAGATTTTACCACGACAAACATAGGAGTCAAGTAAACCCGTTGAAAATAAAACTGTTTTCTGCTAACGTGAGCTTACCGTGGCCCCGTAGTTTTTTGCCCGATGCTCACATGGTCCTCTTAAAATCGGGTGACTCATATAATTTGACGTCCAATTTGAAAGAAAAAAAAAGACGAAACACAAATGTACGGAAATAAATCGATGGCGATTTTTTTCTTGTCATTTTAAAAGGAGAGAGAGATTATACGACAGGAGATGGAGAGACCAGAGTAGTTTTATGGAAGCGACACGCCATGTCACGCTGGAAACGAGTCTGACGATTCACAATTAAGGCGCCCGTGTGTGTGCGCAAGTGTTCAGTGACCTGTCCAAACAACCAGGACCCCGGCCATCTACCACGCGTCCCCCCTTCCACCCCCTTAACTGCCCTCCCTGCCCCCACACGGGGGCCCGCGGGAGAGGGACAGTGACTGGCATCATCACGAGCCCGGCAAACATCGCTGCCTCGTACCGCGCGACCTCGTTAGCAAACGCAGCTGGTGGCCGCGGCGGGCGTGGGTGACATTTCTCGGCCATCACCTGGGCTCGTGGTGGGAAGGTGGCGCGGCGAAAGGAGGGGGCGAGGGGTGGGGGGGAGGGGTGGGGGGAGGGCGGTGTTAGGGGGGTTGTGACGTAGTGGCGGGGGGGGGGGATGATCGTAGAGAGGGGGTGGAGAGGAGGTGAGGGTTGAGGGAACGTGGGGTGAGTGGGGGGTGAGTGGTGGTGAGTGGGAGGCTGGAGGGGAGGGGGGGGGCCGGTTCGTGCCGGTTTTAGGGCGAGGGTAGCGGGGGTGTATTTGGCACAAAGAGGCTCGGAAATAAACGGGGGAGTGAAACATTTTTTTTTCTCGAGCGAACGTCTCCTTGGAAGCAGAATTACTCGGCGTCGAGAGATTTAACGTCACCGGCAGAGAAGAGAAAGAAAAAGGGTTGTGCGCCTTTTAAACACATTTTCTAGTAAAAAAAAATATATATTTAAGCTCGAGAACCCCTTTATCACCCCGCTCCCTCCCCTCCCCCCCCCCGGTGAGTGAAGAAAATCACAAAAGGATTCCAGTCTTTGAGAGAACAGAGAGAGAGAGAACACAGAGAGAGACTTAACGACCACCACGCGTTTCCCGTTACAGAAGCCGGGTCTCCTGTTTCTGCCGCGGCTTGAATGCCACCTCCGCAATCAAAGCCCGGAACAAAAGCTGGCGAAGAAGTCGTTTACGGGGTTGCCCGACGGCACAAATCACGCGCCCAGCCTGCTCCGTTGCAACACGGTGTGGTCCAGATGTCTTGTGACCGCCCTCCCCCATCATCATCGCACAATTGACCCCTAAAATGTTTCCCCCCCCTCCTCCTCCCCCCTTTGAGATATTCATTTACCTTTGAAACAAACCTTACTTACAAAAAATATATTACGTTTTAGAGGATTCAATGGGGGGGGGGGGGGGGGGCGGGGTGTCACAAGATATCTGGACCACCCGCGAACATTGGCCGCACAATCTAACTTTCCCCTGAGTCGTTGCCTACACACCAAGCCGTGCCACGTCAGCTCAGGTGGTTGACTCATCCCAGTGAGTGGCTGGGAGAGAAAACACAGTTCACGACTCAGATGTGACATTGTTCACTTCGTTTTGTCAGCTCGCAAAGAAGCCTTCGACTGGGAGTCACGGAGATGTCTGCTGTTTGGTCAGTTTGTATTTTGCATTTCTGACAGTCGTAGGAAATTGGAGTGACCGGAGAAAACCCAACGAGTAGGCGGAGACAATGGTTTAAACAAAAAAAAACGAATCTTGCTGTTATATAGGAATTAATTCAGCAGCCGACTTGCTCCACTGTATCCTAGACGCCTGGCCGTCTCCCCCCCCTCGCCCTCTCTCTCTACCCCCCAGGGGGCTACGAATCTTGGTGACCATCTCACCCAACTGGTTGCTCCATTCCGGCAGTGATCTAACACGTCCCGAGCACAACCGGTCACCGTAACACACGACCAACGAGAGCGCGTCCTTTGTGATCCACCTAATCTCCGCAAACGATAACGCTCTTTACTGAAAAAAAACCCCGCACACCCGAGCGCGTTAGCGAGACAGCGAAACACGACAACCCAACTTTGTTTTCTCGCTCGCTCGCGTGCTCGCATCGACGGTGTGGCGAGCGTTACCGCCTCTAAGCTGCACAAAATTCGGGGACATATCATGGAACGAGGAACGAATGCCCTCTCCATGCCAGAAGGGGGGATAATCTTCCTGTAACTGAATCGCCTCGAGGGCTGTATTATTACCGTTACGCAACTGACAAACAAAAAAAAACAGACTTTGAATGATCCCGATTAAAACTTACAGAATCCCCCAGGAAGAGCAGCTACTTTAAATTGAAAAAAAAATCAACGGTACTTACTGCTTAAATAAAACTAAAAAAACACAGCACAGGTAGGTAGGAGATAACCCCTTGGTGTGGCCCTGCAAAACATGCAGGTGTCGACCGCAAACCTCACCTGCACGCCGCGCGTGGAACGAGGACAACGAGACGCGGCCCCTGGGACGAGGAGAAGACGAAAGCTGAAGATTCGGGTCGCGGCAACTGGCCACGGCGTCCTTGGGGTGACTTCGGTGGAAGTGGGGAGAGGCGGGGGGGGTCACCTGCCAGGCAGGGCCTGGCGCTGTGACCCGCGGCGTGGCCGCAGGTGCACCGGTGGCGTCATCGCTTCTCCACGCACTCAGTAGCCCCTGCTGCTGTCCCTGCTGCTGTCCCTGCTGCTGTCCCTGCTGCTGCCCCTGCTGCTGCCCCTGCTGCTGTCGCTGCTTCTGTCCCTGCTGCTGCCGCCGCTGCTGCCGCCGCCACCGCCGCTGCTTCTGCTTCTACGAGGACAATGCAACGGGGCGAGCGGTCTCTGGGAGTGGAATCTCTTTTGTCTGCTGATGCTGATGCTGTTGTAGCTGCTGTAGCTGCTGTAGCTGCTGCTGGAAAGCGTTTCATTTGTGACGGCAGTGGCAGTGGCGGGGCGGTGGCGTGAGCGTCTACGCTGACAGCAGCGTAGCGACGCGTCTTGTTTGCGCACCCGGGCCGGCGGAGTGAATCCGTGCCGGTCTGTACCGTCCCGCGGTGTCTTCTGGCTCGGTGTGCGTGGAGCGCGGGGGGCGTGGGGTGGAGAGTGGGGGCGGTGTGGAGAGAGAGGAGGAGGAGGAGGAGAGAGGCAGGGGTGGTGCCTCCTCCTGTGTGGTGGTGGTGGTGGTGGTCGTGATGAGGTTGGGACGGCGGCGACGGTGGTGGGGTGGTGGCAGCGGTTGCTGGTGGTGACATAGGAGGTGGGTGAGGATTGCGCGATTTGTCAGGTGGTGGGGGTCGGTTAGGCACAAGTAGAGAAGGGGGGAGAAAAAATACCCAACATGAGAACCTCCCCACCCACTCTCGCCAGCCACTCATCAAACTCTCACTCACCTCCTCTTCCCCCAACCTCTCCCTGCACTGCACCCTGCCCTATCCCTGCACGCTCCCCCACAGGGAGACACAGAGTCACCACCACTTCTGCTTTAGAACGGCTGGTGGTAACCTAGTTATGCTTGGAGTGAGAGACACACACACACTTCGTATCTTGCTACAACCAACCCCCCCCAAAAAAAAACGATTCCAGCGGGATCCGTAAACGATGACAGAAGGAACTCATGAGAATAGAAAACTGAGTATAGTATTGTACCCGCTGGCCAGCGTTGAAAAAGCGGGGCATTGGGGGCTGAGGGCAGGTGAAGGTCAAACCAGGATCAGGCACAATCGCTGTGAACATATACCACGATCCGTTTGCCCGTCCGAGGACGGGTGTATTGCGGTAAATGTGAAACTTGCAAGGGAAAAGCAGACCGCGACGTGATATATTCATTGGGTCAATTCGTGTGCAATTTGTAAGGCCGCGGTAACACAGACCTATTTCATTTTAAGTTTATAATTTCTTATTCATCATGACGTCCTTTTTACTTTGATGTCTCAACAGCGTCACAGAGATCACGTGACGTGAGGGTTCTGCCTTTGTAGTGAGGGTTGTCAGTTGACGCCGAGGAGGGGGGAGGAGGCGCCTCGCCCCCGCCCCCCCATTTGGAGTGACGTCACCAGCTAATTATTATGAATGGCGGGGGGCGATGTCCATTTGGAAGATGTCACCTTACAATGATTATTAATGAGGGGGGGCTGGTCGACGTCGGGTGACGTCACGCGCGGGACACACAGACATTCTTGGCTCATAGTATAGAACGTGCCGCCCTTCAATAGAGAGGCCAGCCGGTTCAATCTCCCGGCACGGCAGCTGAAACTGTGGCCCCACACTGCGGGGCCTTATTTCCCTTACCCCCCCGCCCCCGCGTGCATTTCGTGTGGTTCCGTCGCACCGGAAAGGATCGCCGCCGATTATCTGCAACCCCTTCACCGGAATGTCTCTGTGGTGTTGTATCAGACTCTGTCCAATCGGCGACGTTAAATTATTACACCACTGCCGCCGCCGCCGCCACCACCACCACAGATCTTGTTTCGCCGGTCCCGTGTGGTGGGCTAAAGTGTGGGTAACTCCCGCCTAATCCAAGATTTCTGAGCGGCGCGGAAGAGTAGGCCAAAAAAAAACCCTCGATGGAGCTCTTTCTAGAGCAAGTGGAGGCCCTGCCACCAACAGTGGCGTGACCAAGACATTGCAGGGCTGCGCCTTTATTTTTTACAGCGTTTTTGTCAATCCAGTGCCAGTGCTGCTGAATCGTTGGGGTTATGTGACCATACTTAACCATGCTGGTCAGGATACAGGAGATTAATCTATGTAGTTTGTTGTCCCTCACCCGCACCTCCGATTAGTATGGTTAGCTGCGTACCGTGCGAAATAAGTTCAACATACTTAGGAATCTAAATCAACTCGAGCCTCCCGTACATCACGTGACTTATGCGTGGCCACCCCCATTCTGAACCCCTCCGCTCTCCCCGCCGCCCGCGGTGAAAACAGACGCCGCTCCTCCTGCATGCAGCAGCAGCAGCAGCGTCGAGGCCCTGATGCAGCCTCTCCATCCTCCCTCTCCTCATCTCTCCTCGCCCACTGCGTTCCTTTCCCATCCTCTTCCCCTGATGTCAAAGCCTTGACAACTCTAGTCCCCTGCGTGTGGTGTGGCCGCGGACACGACAAATGCTCTCCGCATCTCCGATGAGCGCGGTTGGCTACGTATGGTGCGAAAGAAGCTCAGCGACAAATATACGATACGACACGACGTGGGCTTGCGAGAGCAGGCGTGTGCCAGTGCATCGATTCATCACGTAGGATCGGTTCTATCACTCTGGAATAGACGCATCGTTGTGTCTCTGTGAAATTCCATTATTATTATTTTATGCATGTGTAATGACATTAGAGTCAACCTACGGTGTGAGTAGACTAGTGACCACGGGAGGTAATGACAGGGGAGTCAGCCTGCAGTGCGAGTGGACTGGTGGCTACGGGAATGATCGAGAATAGGGGCGTGGCCAGGTGACGTAAGAGGACGGTGAAGTCAGCTGGTAGATCGAGCGGTCTGGAACCAGCGAAAAGGTTCGGGAAAGTGGGGGCGTCGCCACGGACCCTATATAAGGGAGATGCTCGGGAGACAGGAGGGTGACCACGTGGCTCCTGAATAAAGAAAACGTTCCCAGGACGAGTGCGTCGAAGTCGTCTTTACACGTGCGCGTGTTGTTGCACGTGCAATGTACTGTACATTAGTCGGATCGTTCAAACCCCTGCTGCAGACACCGCGATGGAACAAAGTAACGGCAGCCGATGTTTGACTCGCGAGTCATAACGATTCGTCATCGTGTCGCCAGGAAAGGCTGAGGAATGGAGATACGATGATACAGTGTTCATCTTGGAAAGCCCCGGGGCACATTGAGGCATTGCTTTCGGATCAGACTATGTAGGTTTCCACGGGTTGTGCTGTGTGGTTTTTTTAATAGGTTGTTAAATCCGATGTCCGACGTTTCGCTGCACGTGCTGGGAGCAGCTCCCACAACAATGCTGGACGCTTCTTCGGAAGTGTTGGACCTCTGCAAAGGGCAAGCGAACGCGCTATAGCGCCCGGACCATGGCATCTTCTCCCCCCATCTCCCCCCCCCCAAAGCTTCATCATTCCTCCGCCCCACTGTCCTACCCACAACACCTATTTAAAAAAAAAAACCCAATGGGATCACTCATTCTGTCGTAAATTTATTGGCGTCTGAAGTGCACCGTGCGCCTCGTCATCCCCATCGGGGAGCCTTCTTTTGGACCATAAGCCTCGGGCATTCATATTTTGTTATCCGTGCGGATCTTTTGGTGGGGAGGGGGGCGTTGAGCGAGATGGGAATTGACAGCATCACCAGAATTCCAAGCGGAATTAACATAGAGTTCGCACGAAATATATTCGCATCGTTGTTATAATTGTAGCGTCGTTTATTTACCCGGGTAAACTTTCTCGCCGAGTCTCAAGACTCATTTTCAGGAGAGTGCTGCATCGGCACGTTTTGTTCGATTCCTTTACTCAGCATTTTTTGTTTGTTGTGCCTGAACAAAAACAACACCCATGTGCAGCTCCGTTTGTCAATCCACTGCTGGATGGGGACCCTCTCCCACACCGTTCCGTGGTCATATTGGTGGCGGTGGTGGGATATGTTATTTTTGGATGGAAGTGGGGAAAGTGTGGTGGTGGTGGTGGTGGTGGCGTAAGTGATAGTCTTAATGGTGGAGGTAGTGGTGGTAACGAGTGTTGTAGTGGTTGTTGTTGCCATGGTTAATGTTAATATATTGTGAAGCATGTTTCTCAATTTTATTAATATTGTGCTGTGGCCATCGTGTCATACTTCACCACGCTGGTCAATCGGTTGTTGACAGAAGAAGAATAAGCTATCACTTGCCACTGAGGTTAGCCGTCGCTAAGAATCAAACTTCAGGCCACCAGGTCCACAGGACAGCATGCGAACCAATGCGTCACGCCTGAACCAATTTATTAATTTAAATATTTACGAGCGATTTACTGGCATAACCGTTAACAATGTGAAACACGTGAACATCTGGTGCAAAGTAAATTCTGAGCGCTGAGAAGACAATAAAAGATATTGGCAGAAATGTTTTAACAAAATCGCCCCATCTGTGCACTATCGAGCAAGTCACTGTGCACTGAGCTTCGTGCACTCTTTGAAGTTGTTTTGCTAACTCAGGGGTCGGAAACCAAAAATAACAAGAAACTCCTTTTTTGTGTGCGAATTCGGTGAAGAAAAAAAAAACAACAGCTCAATATTTCAAGAGCCGCAATGCACGTGGTGAACACGGAACGGCGAGTGGTTAATAAATAACGTTATGAACCCATACTCTTGGGTTCTTTCGGTAAAGTCACGTAGGTAGAAAAATAAAACAAAATAAAAATAATATATCACGACGTTTCGATCGCAACACAAGCGGTCGTCATCGGGCGGAAAAAAGTAATCCAGCAGTGGACCTGCTGAACCAGCGAGAGAGCTGTTACAACAAGAGGCTATATATGTGGCGATGAATCCAGTTCCTTAAAGAGCCGCACGCGCCTCCAGAACTTTTTCTGTTCCTTGCCTCCCTCGATCCGAGAGGGCTGGCCTCGAGACGGACTCTCCGAGGCCACAGGGCGCTGTCTCGGGCACTCATTGCGAGGAGCTCTCGCACGGCGAGCCCCGTTCAAGCAACACGGTGTCTAGGAGATGTTAACTACCTCGCCTGGTATACAGGAGGTCGTGGGTTCGATCCCGACCCTGCCGCCTGGTATATATTTGGAGCTTGCGTGTCTCTCTACCCGTGGTCACGTGGATTTTTCTCCGAGTCCTCCGGGTTTTCCCTCCATATTTGGAAACATGCTTTTTTAGAGTATTTGGCTGGTATAAATTTCCACGTGATAAGCCACTTCGTTGAGCTATCATTTGTGGCCAGGTGGCTTCTGCAAAAGTGATATATAGCTCATTGGAACAGAGCCTTTTAGAATATTTCAGGTTTTTTTCTTTTTATCACTCCTCGGTGCGCTATTGGCATCGTATCATCAGCGAAACAATCCATTCGGAAATCTCACGTAGCTGGGGGGGCGGAGGGCCCGTGTCAGAATTAGTATTAGAATATATATTTATACTGGAGGAATCCGATTAGCTATAAAGCTCTTTTTCACAGATGTCCAATAGGGAGGAC